TGTAAATTTGAAGCGAGAAAAAACGTTGAGAAAATTAGTTGAATTTTCGTCTTAATTTAGACTAAACTTTAGGTTTAAATACTTTAGTAGCCCCAAAAAAGGTTTGTTTTGATTAATTTATGAGTTATTTTCAGTGCAAATCCGTTTGTATCCTTCAAAATCGTTTCGGTGCGATTCTGCAATTTTTTGCTACATTGGTATATGGGTGATATTCTAACTGTGGTGAGAGCTTGTCCCGAGACACAGTTAGATTATTCTAACTACCATGATACAATTTATTATAATTAAGACTTCCTTATTCAAATTAAGACTACACATAAATTAAGCATGTTGCATGGATAATAAATGACCACTAGTTTAAAATGTTTGCTTATCGATGTTAACGAATAACATTTGATCATGTAGATGTCATATTTAAGTAAGAATTTGGAATTCCTTTTTTTACGCAAAGAAAAAGTGTTCCATGATATTACCGACACATCATGATGATAGCGTGGGTACTGTTTACAAAGTGACTACTGACAAGTGTTAAAACAAATAACTAATTCCTATTCCTTTTCACCAAAGTGTAGACCTGCAGAAATTTGCACAGCATAAAAAAGGATACAATAGGCTGCACCATAACCTTCTGCACTTTTTGTCCTCCTTTGTAGGCCATCGTGAAAATTCGTACAAATCACGTTGTGGGAACCGGTGAAAATGGCGGACAAACAAAGGCTGGCATGTATTTCGATCCCGATGTTAAATATGTCCATCGCGCCCGATCCTCTTAGCCTATAGAAGTATTATGAGGACATGCCAGATTTAATGGACATGGGTGGCAAAAATAAGAACATTATCTGCACTGCACTAGTCTTTCTCTAGCTACCCCTTTTTTCTTTCTTTTTTTATTTCATATGGTAAGCTTAAAGAAAACTGATTATGTTTTTAGGGCACAATATGTAATGCTTACCTGCCTCTCTCCCCCTCTCTCTCTCTCTTTCTCTCTCTCTTCATAAACTTTTACACTAATTGTGTATGTTCCAACTATAAATAGTCTTGTTTGATTTTGATTGTACATATATCCATACAGAAGCTTGTAATGTTTGTAATATGTGTGAAAGTTTCAATAAAAAAAAAAAAAAAAAAAAAAAAAAAAGATTATTGTGATGTAGCAAACTCCATTTATAAGTGCAATTCTACGTTTTAATTAAATAAAAACAAATTAATTCAGAATATGAATTTAACATGCATGCAGTTACCTGTATACATGTACGTATGATACGATATATCTGTGAACCTAAAAAGCACTGTTAGATCTTTTTTATGCATCATAATCGGCGAAGATTCGGGATTATACAGTTTCTGCCCTGTTTATCTGTTAATCTGTTTGTCCACCAAAAAAAAAAAAAAAAAAAATATTTAAAAAAAATTATTCAAATATGTGTGGCATGCCATATACGACAGCCAACTGCTTACTGCCAACTGCTGACTGCTTACTGCCAACTGTCAGCTGCCTACTGCCAACTGCCACACATATTTGAATAAATTTATTTTAATATTGATACTTATGTAAATTTTAAAAAAAGGCGCGGATCTTTTTGAGGACATTTTTTCCAAGGGGGTTTCAAAACGATTCTACATGTAAAAAATCCAACCCAGAAATTTCTTGACAAGAAAAAAAAAATACGTAAAGTCCTTACCTAAATGTGAAAATTTATTTCCGCCGGGGAGAGGGTTGTCCATTTGTACATTTATAAATAATACGTCATACCTTCATGTGTATGACATTTTTATATATCCAACTTATCACGAATCCACATTTTCAATTGGGGAGGGTGGGGGGCGTTCTAAGGTCCCTTTTAGTTGATTTGTTTTATAATTAAATAACTTTTAGTTGGTTTAGTTTGTGCAGTAAATAACTTTACAAATTTCAGAGGGATGTTCCGGACCCCTCTCTCTAGATTGTATAATTTTATCTCGGACAAAGACATTGGAAATGTAAATATTAACTGCATGAGTTCCAGGACAGCATGAAACAAAGCTGTTAAGTTGCTTGAGGCCGTTAGGCCGAAGACATACAAGTGTGGTTCGAGTGGTGGACAAAATTCATTCTGCCCGAAAACACAGTAAATTTATATGTTTTAATTTGTTATACCTTTTACCTTTTATTCTGATAGATGATCATGTAAATTTTATTAATTCCCAATTACATACAATATAATTAATTACAGCTGTATATCAAAAATTACTTATACTTATCATTATCCTCTGGTTTCTACACTGTTTTCAAAATATTTTTAAATTCAAATACACCAAAAATCGTGGTATTATGCCATTTATAAGATTACCATAAGGGTTACATAAGAAATATGGCCCTGAGGTATCTTGTCCAAATGCCTGGTAAGGTACCCTAATTTTTTGTGAGGAAAAATGGATTCCAATGACAAATTTTTAGGAAACATTTTATTTTAGAGGAACGTGTCGTCTGACTTCAATGCAATTTTTCAGATAGCAGTTGATAAGACGATCTAGGCAATATGGATCAAGTAGAGGTTGTTGAAGTTACCAATACTGACGACAGTAATGAAAAGTTCTACGTTAAAATTGAGAATATTTTGACACACGATGTATTACCTAGTGTAGCTCCCGCTGCCCATGGAGCCAGTAGGCAGTATAGGTATGTTTTTCGAAAAATGTCTAAAGAGGAATTCGAGGACCTAGCGGAGCACAGAAACTTAACTCTCAAATTCAAAAAGAGGAAAAAGATGCATACTGCCGAAAAGTGGGTTACGGAATCGATTGACCACTCAGCTCAGTATGAGAATAAAGGGTGCAAGGGAGAAACAAAAGTTGCCGAGATAAAAGTCCAGAAAGCGGCCTATGATAAAATCAGAGAAGAAGCTATACCACAGTTTAATTCTAAAGAAAAACAACCAATGCGTGGTCAAGGAAAGCCATACAATATCACAAATACCGAATTAATAAAAGATCAATCTGGAAAACTTAATCTTGGAATCAAAGGCAAGGAGAATTTGGACAAGTTTAATAAACACATGGTATCCATCAGGGAAATTAATGTTGACACATTTAGAAATGAAAACGCAATTGTGACGTGGATGAAACGAAATAAATTGGCAGCAACTGTCACTGCGATAGGCATAATAATAGATGCAAATAATGTAAGATTATCAATTATCAGTGACGGCGGAAAATTTGGAAAAGAAACACAAATTACATTTGGAGAAATTTTAGGTGGAATTGCTGGAGCAGAATTGGCGGTTGTCATTGGAGCAAAAATTGGTGCAGCTCTTGGTACAGTGGTACCAGGAATAGGGAATTTTATTGCGGGTTTCATTGGTGGCATCATCGGATCCTTTGCGGGTGGCAAGTTGGTTCGTCATTTCCATCTGATGTTTGAAGATCCCGTATCGGAAGATGATAACGATAACAAAGAAACTGTTGCAAGTCCTTAAGAATAAGGCCCTTAATTCATATGACCTTGTTCCGCTTGCAGTCTTATGGAATCCCAAAGCCACGTTTTATATTAATACATGTACGAGGACAAATTTAAATAAGTTACTGAATAACGTTTTCCTTTAACTTACTTTATATGCAAACATTGAACTGTTGTTTTTTCCATCTCACACAAAAAGAATCTTATGTGCACATATTCGCTTTTTGCTTGATTTTTTTATGCTTCTTGGTGATGCATGGATCGAGCAAAGTTTGTATGAGCCATGTGTCACTTCATCAGCTTTTTCTTATCGTTAACTTTGAAATTTTGAACATTATTTTTTTTTTCACGTATTAAGGATGTAAATGTACAAATTATACTCTATAGTAAAAAAATATCACGTCATGAAATTCCTTAATAATTAAATGAAATTTTCTAAAAGAGGATGTTTAACAGTAAATAAATAATCTTTTACTGCAAAACGGTTAAATTATACAAACTTATGTATTTTCTGCGCAGTTATTAGAACGTCTGCTCTAGACTTCAAAGAAAGGGGGTGATCGTTAAAATATGTTGAGGGTTCGAGTCCACTGCGGGACATGGAGACCATGCAGTTCTACCGACAAGACCGTATAAATCGAGCTCCTGCTGGCATGAAAAAGAACCCTTATGCTCACAGTGACCCTGAATATCAAGCATATTAGGTATATCCAAACATTTGCAGCCCTCCACCAATAATTTGAGGAGTCTTCATGTTAGGGGGAAAAGAAACAATTGTAGATAGAAGGTTATACTTTGCATGGCTCAAAGACACCAGTCTGGCATAGTTATTATCTACATTAGTTTATTTATTTAATGTAAAATATAAGGTGCTCAATGATAAAAAAAATTGTGAATTCCTTTGTTTGAGCATTTTTATTTGATAACATCTTCAAAATGCTACCATGATTGAAAATATCGGACCATTTATTGTTTAGGTATAATATATAGTCGTTACACCTAGAATACATTTTAAAATATGTAAATGAATAATGGCTTTATTTGTTATATTTTAATTCGATGGGCTATAATAAATTAACAGTCAGAAATAACAAAATCTTCATCAAATGATATAATTGTAATTATTTGATTAATTGATGATTAATTGTAAGTAAGAACATGCATCTTCACACATTTATATTACATATTAACATTTTGTTATCTATCTGTAGAATTAAAAAAAACTTGCATAAACAGGGGGCAGGTTTAATACAATATCTTTATTATTTAACTTCTCAATTATCGTATAATAAATGTATGTATTTGAAAGTTTATTTCGGGATAAAAATCAATGTCTTCTTTAAAGTGACTAAGCTTACTGGTCACACGTTGAAGTTACTGCATGTAATACATGTATTTGATTCGGAAATTATAGCTGGGATTCGGATGATTCCGGATTGTTAGTGTATCTGTAAACTTTCACTTCACCATCTGTGGTTCCAATCCACGCAATTCCTTTACAAATGGACATGCAAGAAGGTTCTAAATTGTCTTCCATGTAAACCAATTTTAAAGGCTCTCCATCTGAGTGAATAATATGGATAAGACTGTTGTAAATGTCTGTTACTATTATATTGTGCTCTGTGTCACACACACATGCGCTCGGGCAAAAGGGATTCTTTTGATTTCTATAACATCCACGGTACACGAATCTACTCACACCACTGGAAGATAAAATATGCACATCTCCAACATCACACTCTTTCATGTCAATAACACATATATCTGTGTTCTTGTTTTGTATAACTCTAGTGGGAAACGTAAACAGTCTGTTGTTTTTGGTATCAAATTCAATTTCTTTGACCTTCTTTCCACTTAAAGTTATGCTTTCCACCAAACGTCTACACGTGCTATCTGGGTTGTACGGATCGTCCTCTTCACAAAGTGTTATCAGCAGACCTCCAATGATAGACCGCCAAATTCCCGTTGGAACTAGAGGTTCAGTTTCTAACACAACCCTGTCCCCACCCGATGATGTTAATAATCTGATGCTTTTAGAGTCTAAGTCTGTAAAGTAAATATTACCATTGGAGCAGACGGTAAAATCTCCGAACTCACAGTCCACTTGCTTTTTGTCCTGCACTATTCCTTTCTGATCGACAAGTGAGCACACTTGCTCTTGATAAAGCCAAGTTGTATTCTCGTTGACGGATTGAATTGAATCGATTTGAGATTCTCCCAATTTAAAACTAGATATGGGATTAAATGTGAAGTTGTCAACATTCTTTAATTGTCCAATCATTTTCTCTAAAGCACACTGGTCCAGTTCTCCCGAAAGAAAACGAATAGCAAAGTCATTCTCAGAAAACTCATATTTTTCATGTATCAGTAGGTTTTGTAACTGTGTGTAGGTTTCAACAAGATGGGAATCGCTCAAATTGTTCTCTTCTATGAAAGACATTATTTTGCCGACCATATCTCTTTGTGTTTCGATACGCCCCTTCATATTAACTAGAAATTCATTCTTCTTCGTCCAGTGAGTTTTCAAACAATTAAATAATTTATCCTTAACATCCGATACTGTTTGCACAATTAAATCAAACTGAATTTGAAGTTTTTCTTCTTGTCTTTTGAAGGTTGCCGTATTTCTTTCTTCCAGTTGATGAAAAGCGCTCAATTCTTTTTCGAGTTCATTAAAGTGATGATCTCTTATTTCGTTAAAATCCGATTCAATGTTACCATGTATTTGGAGAGCGATATTCCTAATAAGGTCCCAGTTGTGGTCTTTGTGATTTGCCTTCACACATGTCGAGCACAATGCCACTTTACAATCCTCGCAGAACATAACCAATAAGTTTTTGCCATGTTCTTCACAGGAAACTTTTGGAGACTGACAAGTTTTTATATCTGGTGGATACCACACATCGGCCATGCTTCACGGTAAGACGCTTTATAACTAGGAATCAGACAAGATACATATCGATTTTCTAGACAGTCCCGACAGAATGACACGCTTTACTGTAAAGGTAATGTGTTTGTTCTATTGATTTGAAAAGAAAGATAACAATGATATGCGCAGCACAGATGCTTGGGCTTGAAAACTTGTACGGGCTTGTAATTTCGTATTCTGTAAAGCGATAAAATGTTTGTTGATAACGTATGAAAACACTTGACCTTGATATGAATTATTTTACAAATCATATGGTTGTTGTTATTACTAGCTTGCAAATACAAACTGTCTGTTTGAAGAATGCTTACTGGTTTTTATCACTTATCTTATTGTCAATGTGTTACCAATTTGTCTTTATTCAATTCCGATTTGTTCATCGGTCAATATTTATTTTTCTGCGTATTAAAATTATCTTTGTCAGTTGTTATTTTTTATGCCTGTAGGCTTCGATGTTAATGTATCAAACATTGTATTATTCTTAGCTTCTTCTTAAAAAAATTTTCTACAAAAATTTGTAGTTAAAATGGGTTTCTTTTACAATTTTAATTTTATTTTTGAAAGTCAGATTGAAAGTTAGATTGTGCACTAATCTTTAAAACTTTATCTTACCTTCATAATCTTCTACTCATTAAATAAATGGAGATAATAAACGCTATATTCAAGCTCAAAAGTCCATTAAACATTATACAAAAGGAGCAGCACGGATCTGCAAAACATCAGCGGGGGGATCAGGTACCATAGAGTTACCTTACCCTGTCAACCTGTCACACCCCTCCCCTTGTGCCCCTCGTCATGGTCGGGGAAAAACGGTAAAATTCGGCAATTCAGTGTATTACAGTAATTGGTAAAATTTAACTTTAGTAGTAACTCGTCATTTGATTGGGTATAAGCTTTAATCCATTTAGTGTAACATAAGTTGCCTACGTCACAATAAATTACATCAAGAACATACATGTATTACTCCGCTTGACGTTACTTTTAAAATATGCTCAATTGTAACCTTTTTCTGGAGTAGAAATTGTGTCATTGTCTACTCTGAAATTAAATTATAAGGAATGAAGCTTATTTCAACTTATGTTTTACAATAAATGTAAGCAGTTTACGCATTTTTATGAATCGCTTCGCTGCTTATGAAGAGTAAACTGCCCCGAGTTATGTTATATCGTATAACATAAGTTGAAATAAGCTTCTTTCATTGAGAGAAAATGTCGGTCAGAATTTTATTAAATGATAAATTGTATTTGCTTACAAGGTCAATGAATCAACTATAGAATTTACAAAATGATGACATTCATTTAATATATGTATTTAACTAAATTGCTCCAATGAAAACTCATTAACAACATTAAAAATATTAAAAATCATTTAATCCAATTTTAAATAATTTAATTCTGGTTGTAACGATGTATTTGATTGGATGAAAACCCTTTTTACCTGTATGGAGAGCACCTTCTGATATATACTACTGAATATTTTTTTCAATATGTTTACCATTCTTTCAACATATACCTTGCGAGTTATTGATTTGATAGGTAATAAAAGCCTGTTCCTCTGCAGATTCAATCTGAAGAAGTGATGCATCAGGCCAGACACGCTTACAAGATTTGATGGCGTCGACATAAATAAGAGGTTCAGGATGAAATGTGTAACAGCTTAAATTTGAGCCTTCCTTTCTTGTAAATGACCCAAAAGGGCATACAGGGCTTCGTACACCTGAGGAAAAATATAATTTTTATGTATTTATATAGAAACAGCGATCTATATTATCAATATAACATTTTATGTTAGGGTGACATATGATTACTAGTATTTATCTAGTGAGTGAGTTGCTCTTTGGTGAGTCGTTTTAAGGCGATGGGATTATAGGGATCAAAATCAAGAGGCCCATGCATGGCCCCATTTTCACCTGAATGGCTTTGACCTTGCTTTTCATCACCAGATTCCCCCCTTGTAAACCTTTTGTGACCCACCCTACCCCACTGGTCAATTTGGACAATTTAAAAATCAATACTACCCCTTGATTTTTTCGCATAAGTTTCAGCTTTTCTGGCCCTGTTGTTCCCAAAACAAAGATTTTAAAAAAATCTTATGGATGTTAAATTTAATTCCATATTTTGTCATCAAACAAATCCCGGGGAATCATGATTTGAACAATTTAAAATTAACAATACCCCACGATGCCTCTACATAAGTTTCAGCTGTTCTTGCTCAGTGATTTTTTAAAAGAAGATTATTTAAGATCTTCCCATATATTTTAATGTAAAACTTGAGTTCTCCATTGTGCCCCTGCCCTACCCCCAGGGGGTCATGATTTGAACAATTTAGAATCTACACTTTTCCAGAATGCTTCCACATAAGTTTTAGTTTTTCTGGCCCAATGGTTCTTGAGAAGAAGATATGAAAAGTTTTTTCCCAATATATTTCAATGTATAACTTGGAAACCACATTGTGGCTCCACCAAACCTCCGGGGGTCATGATTTGAATAATTCAAATTCTACACTACCTCAAGATGCTCTCACATAAATTGCAACTTTTCTGACTCAGTGGTTCTTAAGAAAAAATATTTTAAAAGGTTTCCCCCATATATTTAAATGGAAAACTTTGGTTCCCCATTGTGTAACGCTCTACCCCCGAGGTCATGATGTGAACAATTTAGAATCTCCACTTCCCCAGGATGTTTCCACACATAAGTTTAAGTTTTTCTAGCCCAGTGGTTCTTGAGAAAAAGATTTTTAAATGACCTCACACTATTTGTGTCTTAACTTAATTATCTCCCCTTGTGAGGGAACTCAACCCTTCTCTTTGTTCTTCATTTTAATAATTTTTATTTCCCTTTAACCAAGAATGCCAAGTTTAGTTAAAATTAGCTCAGTGGTTCTTGAGAAGAAGTCGAAAATGTGAAAAGTTTACAGTCAGGCAGACAGCTAGAAGGACGAACGAGGGACAAAATGTGATCAGAAAAGCTTACTTGAACCTTCGGCTCAGGTGAGCAAAATCCGAGATCGAAAAAGACCTCATTTAATAATATACCATCATGGTAGATTCTTTTTATTACACGTTTAACAAATAGTATTTCATGTTTTCATGTTTTATAATTTGTAATTGCATAATATGTGACTTGAAGACATACATGCCAAATCACAACATGATGTCAATAATCATACAAATTAAAACACTACTAGTATTCTAAGAGCCATATATCCATTTTATAAACATGATAAAGAACTGCATTTTATATACAAAATAATCTAACAAATCAGATAAATAAAGGTAAAATACAATCTTTGAATCTTAATTACGATTTTGGAAAACGAGAAATAATTCACCCGTGAATTAGAGTTATGAACGTTGTGTATTTTCTATAATAAATATAAATTTTCTTATTTCTTGCATTTCTTACATTTTTGAATCCAAATCCATGTTACCTACCGTCTGTATCACAGTGGGTGTTGAAGATCATGATGTCGTCGATGTATACATAAGTTCGAATGTTGTTCTCCAAAATAATCTAGAAATCAAACAATTGATTTTAAAAGATTGTCTTTCAAGGCTGATACCTTGTGAATGTACAGTTATGTATATTGCTATAATGTTTATTAAATTAATGCAATGGACTTCCGTCAACCTCACTCTTTTTGAGAAAGAGAAGTAAAATTGGTAATGAAGTGGTCATGTGTACTATACAATACTTTTATTCAGAAGGGCTTTGTTTTGCTCAATGATAAAAAAAACATAGTTGATGATGAACATCATAGTATCGTACATATATACATTAAAAACTGTGTCGTAGAATATTATCTTTTTTTTGAAGTACCTTAAAGGGGTGTTGTCTTTTTTTTGAAGTACCTTAAAGGGGTGTTGTATATATTCTTGATCTGGACTAACTTCTGCCAGAATCCACTTCCCTGCAGGAAGATTCGTAGCCGGTATGCTGTGAAAAGGATAACCCGGATGTTCTCCGACCTTTCAAATGAATGTCGTGCAACATTTATTTCTAAGTTATGTTATTTTTTTTATTTTTACATTTGTGTTTTTTTTTGTCATGCAATATCTTTAAACATATAGAACCTTATATAGATTACATTTAGCACCGATGGGGTCCAGAACTAGTGTCATGCTGATGCCTTGTTTGACTTTTGATTCTTTGAGATAAATGTAATGTTGTACATGTAAAACTAAAAACCGCAAATATTATAAATTGGTATAGTTACATTTACATGTCTGTAAGATTTTGGAAGATAATACTTCCTACACAGTCCCCAAAAATGTCTATGACTTGTACTGCTGATATTGCAAATTTTTGTTTATATTATTTTCAAGAAATTAAAAAATGCTTTAGAAATCAAATGCAAGTAATAATGTAACGTGCAACGCGACCGAGCTTGGTGTTTGGTGATATGTCTTGTATCACCGAGGCGTTACAGTTAGGTTCGTTAACCTGTTAACTCAGATTTTTGTAGACCAATACGATTATATTCAAATATATACAAATACAATGGGTTTCTTCTTGATTGGACAACCACTAACTGTGGTCGACGGGTGTCTCCCGCAATGAATTTCTCTGGTCCTGCCACTCTCATCGTACTGCTGCATCTTGGCACTTCCCCCACTTCTGCGGTATGCCACCTTTCTCTCCATCAGCCTACCGCCTTATACAGGTCTTACGTATTAGCTAATATTGAAGACCCCTCATTGCCTATTCCCCGAAACTGTGTGCCTTATTCAGGTCTTATCACAAGTTCAAGAGATAAACAGTCAAGCCTTAACAAACTTGTCACCAGAGAGGTATCCTGAGATTCTGTAACACGACATGTGCTACCTCAGTGCAGTCTCAATACAAAGGCAGTTACAAACTACTTAAATGATTATAAAATTGATATTTTTAGTGTTTAAGAAATTAGACGAAAACATAGGTCTAACGTTTTATATGAAACTAAATCACAAAACCAATTTTCGTTTCAATAATTATAAGGATTTTTAG